TGTAGTAAGAAGTAAATTATGTGGCAAGAATACAAATATGTGCAGATACACTAGTAATCATAATAAATGAGAATATATCAAACATACCTATTAAAAGACTATGAAACTGGGTACAAGGAAAACCAGCAATTTTGGTCACTAGAAATCTGCTTTAAATCTGGCAACACAAAGAGGTTATAATTAAGCAGAAGAAGGCAATGCCACACAAATGCTACAACAACAAACTAGTAGAGGAAATATTAGAAACAGACAAAATAGATAAAAAAAGAAATCAGCTGAAAAATCATTAAATGGGAAGAGTGGTATACTTCATGTTGATAAAAATCTGTACTGAAAAGTAGGCTTCCCCTTAGTCTCATTTGGCAAAACTGTATCACATGCCCACAGGAGAACCAATCACAGTCAAACAGAATGAAATTCCCATGAATAGATAGACCATTTCAGATCGAATCCCTGAGGTTGGGGAAGCAACAACTGCCTTCTCTAAAACATGGGTCATACAAAGTAGAACAGATACCTGAAGAAGAATCAGGGTTGTAATAGAAAAGGAGGCAATCAACAATATTTGGTACACCACCATGAAGATATGACAACACATAATTTATTTCCCTGTAGCATCAATTATACAAAGTGATGAATCACTATAAAATTAAAAGTACAATGTTTTATTTCTTTGTCTCCTTTCAATATTTATCCCTTCCATTAAAATGTAAATTTCAGGAGGGCTGAGACCTTGTCTATCTTGTTCTTATTGTAGCTCCAGGATCTTGCACGAGGTTCAGCACATAATAGAAACACAACACATGCTTGGTGTTTGAATTAATGAATACTGGTTTAGATTACTCTGAGATCAATTAAAATGATACAATTTAAAAATCCAGGAAAGGAAAGCTCTGAAGTGGTATTAGTTTTACAGTTACAAGGAAACGGGGATTACCAAAAGACCATTGAAATGTATGTTTAGAAAGGATTTTACCTTTAGAGAGAAGTTTTAGTGAGAGCATTTGTGAACATAAGCTAGATCACAAGGAATTAAGGATTAAGTGGGTAATAAAAAAATGGTTAAAGTAAAAATTCCCTTTATCTTTAAAAAAAAACTTGGTAGATGTAGAAAAGGTAGTATCTCTGAGGATAGCAGATTTAAGGAAGAGGTTAATTGGTTCATTTTAGAATTGTTGGCATAAACATATTTACTAACAAAAAAAGGAAGTAGCAAATGGAGAAGAATTTATTGAAGGTATAGCAGAAAAAAAGGGAATTATGAATGAATTTCTACAAGAAGAGGGAACTGAATCAAATGTAAAATATTAAGAGGTTAAGTTGGAGGCATCACACCTCCTGACTTCAAAATATACTATAAAGCTATAGTAACCAAAACAGCATGGTACTGGCATAAAAATGGACAAATAGACCAATGGAATAGAATAGAGAGCCTGGAAATGAACCCACACATTTACAGCCAGCTGATTTTTGACAAAGGTGCCAAGAATATACAGTGGAGAAAGGACAGCCTCTTCAGTAAGTGGTGCTGGCAAAACTTGATATCCACATGCAGAAGATTAAAACTAGACCCCTATCTCTCACCATAAATAAAAATCAACTCAAAATGGAGTTAAATTTAAGACCCCAAACTATGAAACTCCTAGAAGAAAAAATAGGGGAAATGCTATGCGAAATCAGAGTGGGCAGTGCATATTTGAATGAGACCACAAAGGCACAGGCAACTAAAGCAAAAATAGACAAATAGGAATATATCAAATTTTTATTTTACCTTCTGCACAGCAAGCGACACTTCAACAAAGTAAAGAGATAACCTACAGAATGGGATAAAGTGCTTGCAAACTACACATCAGACAAGGGGCTAAAATCCAGAATACATAATAAACACAACTCCACAGCACAAAAATAACCCAACTACAAACTGGGCAAAGGACCAGAAGAGATATTTCTCAAGAGAAGACATACAAATGTCCAAAAAGCTAACTCAAAATCAGTAATCATCAGGGAAATGCAAACTAAAACTACAATGAGATATCGCCTCGTGTTAGAATGGCTGTTATCAACAAAACAGAAAATAACAAATGCTGGCGAGGGTGTAGAGAAAAGAAAGCCCTCCTACATTGTTGCTGGTAATGTAAACTGGTAAAGCCATTGTGGGAAACAGTATGGAGGTTCCTCAGAGAACTAAAAATAGATCTACGTTATACCTCAGATAAGCTATCCCACTGGGTATATACCCAAAAGAAATGAAATCAGTATATCAAAATGACACCTGCACTCCCACATTCATCGCAATAATATTCACAATAGCCAAGAGATGGAATCAACCTAAATGCCTATCAGTGGATGAATGAATAACAAAACTGTGGTATATATACACAATGGAATACTATTCAGCTGCTAAAAAAATGATATCCTATCATTTGCAGCAGTACAGATGGAACTGGAAGCCATCATGTTAAATGAAGTCAGGCACAGAAAGACAAATAGATGTTCTCACTAATATGTGGAATCTAAAAAAACAAAGTGGTTTCATTAAGTAAAGAGTAGCATACTGGTTACGAGGCTGGGAGGGGAAGGGAGTTAGGGAGAGGAGAAGCGGTAGACTAATGGGTACAAAACTGTGTTGTCTACTCTAAGTGAATCATTGTACAATATATGCATGTATTGGAACAACACACTGTAACCTAGAAAAATATGAATAAAATTGAAATAAATAACTACAGAAATAAAGAGGTTAATTTTAAGGAAGGACCTATTGTCCACAGAGAGCAGAGTAATGGAAGAATGTGAAAGAGACACAGAACAAAATAAACGTTCTGTCACCTTGACTTTGCCAAGATTTGTCTACCTAAGAATTACTTCACAGTATTTACTCAATAAATATTTGTTGAATGAATGGAATGAATAAACACATGAATGTATGCAGTGATATATATGTATCTTCTTACCATAAATATGCTCTCTTTGTTTTCTTGTGGTAAATCATTGAAGTAACAAGGAATAACAGATTCTACCAATCAGGGAATGCCTTCGGTGGACACTTCCCAACAACAGATCGGGCAAAAAGGGAGAGAGCAAAAATAAGGTAGAATAGATGGGTAAATATCCTTATGTGTTCTACCCGTTATTGAAGTCCTTAAGGGTGGAATTATCTACACTAAAGCTACACATTTTACTGGAAGCTACAGTAAGTAAAGGGAAATCATTTATGTAAAAGGATATACAATAAAAATATGTTTAATCAATAACCAGAAAATATGTATGTATCAATATTTGTCTAATTCCAGAATAAAAAAACTAAGAAATAAAAAGCTTGATTTTCACTGTTTAAAATAACTGCTCAACCTGAAAATTAAATCCCAGATCTGATTTTCTGATCTGTTGAGCATTCTCTTTGTAAAATGTTCTACTTTTGATGATTTTCGCATTCCAAATGTATACACCAAACTTCATAAAACACTAAGATCCACTAGAAGTTATCCAAAAATAAATCATATCTACAACTGACCGCTCACAACATTCTCCTTAGTATACTAAGTACCTCAGGACTTGATATTAAATTAAATGCTCACAGAAACAGATTAATCCTTTCATGTCATTTGACAGACATTATTAACATCACAACATGATTATATTTCAGGTTTAGCTTCCACTTGCTAATTACTAGAATCTTACTGTAACATTGCTTATTTAATTATAGATGTCAAGATGAGGACTTTGTCAAATTAAAGAGATATTTGTTTTTAAAAACACCACTAAGTGATAAAAATGTATCATGGTTCTTTATTAGCTTAGCAACTAATTTTACAACTCCCATTATTTCTTTCAGTGATTGGCTACCTATTGTGCACAAAACAGCCTGGTGGCAGTCATTTACACCACATGCTGGCTGAAACTGAGTGAGAATGAGGTTGGCCACTGTTAGAGAGGAGGGTAGCACTCAAAGGGTTAAGTTATAGCAACAACTTAGTACAAATGCATCACTTCATGATTTTTTTTTTTTTTTTTTACACATAATGGCTATAATCAATTACTTTGTGGGGCAAAGACATAAGAAAAAAATTAATTAAACCAGGTCAAGGGAATCAAAATGGTAATTTAGAGTTCTAGATAGTTGTATAATTGACAAAACAGATTTGAGAGCCACTCTGGAAGAAATATTGACAGGATTTATCAATCAACAATACAGCAAGATGAAAAGCTGGAAAATAAGAATGAAGGGGATGGTAAATTATTTGGTTAGTTGGAGAACGTTATTTTGCTTATTTAAAGGATCTGGAATAAAGTTTCACCTTGGCACTGATCACTGGTATGTTTTCCTTATCATTCTTATCTCATGCTGAGAAGCTTCTGGCCCCACCTGACTGCCAAAGGCAGGGATGACTATCAAGTTGCAACGCTGAATGCTTCCAGTTACCGTACCAGAAGTTTCATATTGTAATCAGGATTATCCTTTAAGTACTTTTCTCAGGAGGTTCTGCATTCATTCCACTGATTTCTAGTGCTCAAAGTATTTGGAATGCCTTACATACTTGTTTACACGTGTAGTGTGTCTTCATGTTTTATTGTATGTACATAACTATTTTTACGTGAATATTTAAGCTAGTTTCATAATTTTGCATGCCTGCTTTGTTACACATTATAGTATTCTCTGGCTACTATGTGTAATTTCACATATCTTTGGTTTAAGAACGGCAGTGATGTTGGGTCATGTTTTGTTTTGCAGATCAGAAGCTCACGTGTGCTTTATCATTTTCTTCATGAACTGCTGGCACCAACTGTGGCAGACACGTGGTAGTCCCAATGAGGCAAAGTACGATGACAGTTTTGACCAGAAGGGGCCACCACCATACTTAAAACACACCTAGAACTCACATTTTCAATGCTTGTGTTATTTTTTCAGGAGTTTCATGTGTCAAAATATTTCAGAAACCCTTCAGAATTATCTAGTACCTCAAGCAAACAATTAGCAACAACTAATAGGGTCTTATAAATACCTTCCGATGTTGTTCATTCTTCATCTTCTGCAATTTTTCATTTTCTTCTTTTCTTAGAGAATCCTTATAAGCCCAGCTTCTGGCCTGTAAAGATACAGGGAAAAAACTTCATAGCAAAAAGAATCAATGTGCCTACTATGGGCTGGTGCTAATAACTCAACCTCTGTATTGAGCACACAGTAAGCTCTCCATGCACACATACTGAGTGATTTATGCATATGTCCGAAGATGTCCCATGGTATATATAAGAAGGCTAGTGTAAGCACAATTATCCAGCGCACTTTAAAGGATGATCTAATTTTTTTAGTTAGGCTTTAAAAACATCCCCTCAGAGATAACCAACATAGTTTATTCCTTCTAGTGGAACGTTAAGGATATTTTTGAGAATATTTCAACCAGCTGATCAGTCAATATTAGACACAAGCAACAGCGGCACTGTCTTCAAAAGCACTGACATGTCTACTGCTCTTGATGGCATCCTATTAAACACCTTGTCAACTAGCAATTGATACCATGTAATTCCAAAGATGTGTTTCTTTCTAAGTCCTTGCATCCGTAATCTGTACCTGAAGCTTATTTTTATTTCTGAGAGGGAAAACAAAGCCTCTTCTGGAGCACAAGAGCCTTAGAAGAGCCAGCACCTGCAGTAGGATGTTCTTCAGTCTCTCTGACCCACCACATCAAACTTCAACACACTAGCATATTGACTGTGTATTCTGGAGTTTATGAGATTAAGTGTTCTGTTCATTTGTCATACACTTTCTCTCCGTCACATTGACTTGCAGCCCCAGCCTCTGTAATGCAGTGAGGCCAGCCTGATGAGCTAATGCTTAGTAAATTCCATTGATCTCATAAAACTACTGGCAGCATCACAGCAGCAGGCTACATATTTCAGGCCTAGTTCTCTGGACTAATAATCCATAAAGCTTATGTAGGCTGGTTCCCCCTTTTCCCATACAATAATTTTTCTCAAGCACTTCTTAGCTCATTCCCCCATTTCTGTCACTATAAAAACTCATATACCATTGAGCAGTAAGAGCCACTTCCCAGAAAGGGAGAGAAGCTTTCAGAACTATATCATCTATGGCAGTACCAACTAGAATAGTGGAGCTCCAGAGAGCCCACACATATTCAAACCCTGCTACATTAGAAAAGTAAACATACATCCTATGTGTTTCTCTTATATATATCCAAAGCCCAAGGGGACTATGATAAGACACTAAAAGTGGGGAGTGGTTCCCTGATCACCCCTTCTTTTTATATTAGAGAAGGATGGTTTTCATCACAAATATTCCACGTGAGACCCAGGGAGGAAGGACGGAAGAGAGGGAGGGAGGAAAAGAGACAGCTTCTAATCAAGAGATTAAAATGTAGAGTAAAATATTTAGTTAAAGCAAATATGGCAACTCTGTTGGAGTGAGCAGGATTGAAGCCCTGTTGGGACCTAAAACCACATGGGCTCTAAAAGATTTTTGAAAGACAGCTTTTTTCTTGGCATGCATTTCTCTGAGTTCCCTTTTATATAGAGAACTCAGTACTATTCCCATGGTTATTTGATATTTTGAATCTTGGTTATGGGGACAGATGACATTATTAACATGAATGTAAAGTAGCTTTCTGGCCAGCCTGAAGCTGCAGACTTGCACATACTACCTACACCCTGAGATAACAGCAAGGACAGGAGCAGAAGCCAGATGGAGTCTTGGAGAGAATCTGCACCTGAGACCTTGCATGGAGCCCCACTGCTCACGTCCCCCTCCCTCCTGCTTTTCATTTCCCATATTCCATGCCCTCAGCCCCTCTTTAAAAACCCCTCATTAAACCTGAGTCTTTGAGATGGCTTTAGCCTGGCCTTTCTCCTTCGGGTTTACCAGAGAGATGGGTTAGCTATCTCAGGTCATCAGTATTCCTGAATAAAAACTGGATTCCATTTTCACCAAAATTTGACTCGTTTGATTTTTGTCCAGGGGCAGGCAGTTGGACCTGTGAGTTTGGTTTCAATTTGGGGGAGCCTCAGCCAGGAGCTGAGTGTGCCCTGTAACAATTTGAGCGAAAAACCTAAATTCTATTTTAATACATTCCCTTTAAACTTACCATCTTTTTGTTCTTTTATCAGAATATAGGACCTACTTTTTGACTCAGAAAAGCATAGCAATTAGACCCATAAGGTGCCATATAATAGGCCACAGAAACTGGGAAGTCACATGGCACCTGACCTATGAAGAGTTCAAAGTTACTTCCAATCCTACTGCTTGCTTACCCTGCTGTGATCCCTAGGCAGGAGAGGAAGTTTCTGTTTGAAAATAATAGGGAGGAAAAAACACTTTTGATCACTATTTTTCTTTTGTCAGCTCTAAATATGAGAGATTAATAAGTCACTGTATTCACAAATTTTTTCTAGCATTAAATATTTAATATAATACTAACAGAATTTTTTTGTCATTCAGCTAAAATTTACACTTATTTCTCCTCCCCAAAAGCTATGCTTATAATGTATTTCTTTAACAAACAATAGTTAAGCCTCCTGTGTACAAGCACTGTGTCAAGACGGGACCCTGGACCTCAAGTGCTCATAGCCTAGTGTGGAAGGTGGACAAGAAGAATAATGATTACAGCAAAGTATGATAGCTGTTGTGATAGAGGAAGCAAAAAAGGAGGCTATTTAATTAAACTGGATCAAGGACACCTTCTTGAAGGGGTTGACACTAAGTTGTGTTTGAAGAGTGAGTGGGAATCAAACGAAACGGGGTGAAGAGCATCACGTGAAGGAAGGAAACGCAGCACCACATGAGTCTGCCAGGGCTTCCAGAACGAAGCACCACAGATGGGGGCTTAAAGAACAGAAATGTACCCTCTCATAGGTCTGGAGGCCAGAAGCTCCAAATCGAGGTGTCTTCAGGGTTGGTTCCTTCTAAGCAGTATGAAGGATCTGTTCTAGATCTGCTCTAGGTCTCTCTCCCGGGCTTGGAGATGGCTGTCTTCACCCACGTCTCTTCACACCTTCCCTGTATGCACGTCTCTACATCCCAATTTTCCCTTTTTATAAGAACATCTTCCATGGCTGATTTGAGCCCACTCTAAGGACCTCATTTTAACTTCATTGCTTCTGTAAACACCCTATCAGCAAATATGCCCATATTCTGAAGTGCTGGGGGTTGAGGCTTCGAAACAATTTTTTGGGGGGGGAGGGGGGACATCATAAGAAGCATTCAGTTCTCATTTTGATAGTGGAATGAAGATGTCTCTGCTCCATTCCTCTCTAAAAAATTTACCCTAACCAGAGGAGAAAATGAAACGAACACAAACTATCTTCAGAAACCGAGAGACATCTGTATTGACAGATGAAAATCTACAGAGCCCAACGATGACCCGGCCACCTCCAGAAGCCAGCTGGGCTCCTGCGACACCGGTGGACCGGTCCCGCCCCACCCCCTCCTCGCTTCCTACTCCTCTCATTTCCCCCTCGCCTCCCTGTTCCACATCTTAGAATGTAAAAATAATAAAAAATAAATAAATTTTAAAAAATCTATGAAGACAAAGTAGGTGAAGGTAGGGCACGTGGCTTACGGAGAAAAGAGAGCAAACCCAAAGACTTGCTGGTGAGGGGATAGAGAACACCCATGGAAAGCCAGTTTTCTCCACAGAGTGACACGAGAGCCCCCAAAATGGATGCACCAGCTATTGGGGAAGTCAGATGATAGGAAGGTCAAGAAAGGAAATTTTAGAACATCTCAGTAGATGGCCACTTACCCCCATGTGTCTGTGCCTGCCCTGAGAATTCAGGTGCTAATTCACCCAATCTCAAAAGGAAATCAAAGTGTATCCTCTGGATAAACTAGACCAGGTACTCCAAGTACAGAAGGCAGTGGTGGTAAAATGCCAAGCCGAGAATGAAAGGATTGTATAAAATCCTGCATATTGACCAATGAGCCTCTGAGCCCCCTTCTCAGAAGTTTTCCTTCTGCGCTCTGCACTGTTTCCTCTGAAAAGTGTAAAGTGATATATTTTTAATAAGCAACAGAGAAAAAAGGAGCTCTTGGAAGTTAAAAAAAAAAAAATCTACCCCCCAAAACACCAAATCAGTAAAATATTTAGAAGATAAAGTCAAAAAATATACAAGAACTTAGGAAAAAGGCAGTCAAAGATAAATTCAAGGGGAAAAATATTTTTTAAAAAAGAAGATAAATCCAGGAGGTCTAGGATTTGAATAAATGGAATTTCATAAAGAGAAAATGAAGGGAAATAAATCAAAGAAATAATCCAAGAAAATCATCTAGAACTAGAGATGAGTTTCAGATCGAAAAATGAATTTAAAAGACCCTCAGTCTGAGTCACAACATTACAGAATACCAGAAAAAGAAAAGAAGATATTCAAACACTGCCAGGGGAAGCAGGGGAAAACCTTTGTATAAGAACTGAAATTTAGATGGTCTTGGATTTTTCAGGAACCAATACTCAAAGTTAGAAAAGCAATGTCTTCAAAAGCCTGACAGAAAATTGTTTCCCATTTGGAATAGTCATCAGTAAAAATCAGCAAGCCAAGTATGAGGGCCGAATAAAGAGTTCCAGACATGGCAGGACTGGAATACATCTACCTCCCACGCGTCTTCTCCAGGGAAGCTACTAAATAATGTACTTCACCAAGACAAAGAAGTAAGGCAAGAGAGTAAAAGAAATAAGACCCAGAAATCATGGGACTTAACACAGGAAAGTAATAAAAGCAACTCCCAAGATGACTCTAAAGCAGTGATGCTCAACCTTGGCTGACATCAGAATCACCTGGGGAGCTTTTAAAAACCCGGACACCCAGGCCATTATACAGCAGGATCTCCAGGGTGCGACCCAGGCAGCTGTGATTTTTAAAGCTCCCCAGTGATTCCAAGGTGCAGATGAGGTTGAGAACCATATGTTAAAGGAAAGTCCCAGAACAACAGCTGTATAACAGGCCTAAAGAATAGCTAGTGCAGGTTAGAGCAGTAGGTAAGAGGGATCCAGGGGGAAGAGAAAACCCACACACAGAATTGACAAGTTATCTGACAGACACAAAATGGAAAATTGTGTGGAAATCTGCATCCAGAGACATT